GAGCCTTAGAATTACGTATTTCTTCATGCTTTCAGAAAAAAATATTTTTACATACAGTTGGTATTTATTTCTTTATTACAGTCTCCAAAAGAAGGGAAGTTTGCTGTGATCGGAAGTGCTCATATGTTTTCAGATAACTATCTGAATAAAGAGGATAATTCCAAAATATTTGATGTTCTTTTTACATTTCTTACTACATCGGATGGTGTTCACTTTGATCCTATTGATGCCGAAGATCCAGATATTGAGACCTACTTTCAAGTTCCAGATATATCAAGCTTGGGTGATCAACTTAAAGCGTGTCTTCAGGAAAGTGATGAAGTACCGTCAAATGTCAGTACTCTTTTTGATCAGTCTCTTTTTGCTATGGATACAAGTATGGTCTCAAAGGCTATTGCGTAAGAACACGTTGTGGTTGCAATGTCTCTAAATTTATATAATGCAAATATTAAGTATAGCTATAATTTATTCTCTTTTATTCTCCTTCATTTGCATTATCCTGTCACCCGTTCCTATTGAAGAGTTTTTCCGCATTTTACTCCTTTGTTATTTAATGTTTGCTTCACGGCAAGTTTTTTATATATGATTTATAGTTCGAAATTATTTATATGTCTTTTTAGTGCTTTCGATAAGCTAAGAGTAAAGCACGAACCACTCACCTTGATTGTGCCTCAATTCGAAACACCATTGCCACCACTACAACCGGCAGTAAGTTAATTCTTTCTAAAACAGACCATAATGTTAATTTTTCGCTAAAACAATATTAGCCTAAATGCTGATTTAATTCGTAATTTTTTTCTCTTATATGTGGTCCCCAGTGGAATTCACTTCGGCTGTAATTAGTCATCTATTCTGAGTAGATAAATTTTGCCAGACCGCTTTGCCGCCTGGCAATTGGGCTGAAAGAAATGCCAGGCCAATTATCGACGTTTAGCAAGGGACAGTACATATTTTCCTTTATGAGCACATGATGTTGTTTTGGCTGAAAGCATTTGACTTTGCCTTATACCTTCGTTACCTTTGAGGCAAATAACGTAATACCACCGTGAATATTGGACCATTATCTTTGCGGCCATGTTTTCATCACTGAATGTACCTCAAGCAGTCGGGGAAGTAATGCTAATCATTTATATTTTTTCAGGTTTTTCCTCCTAATTTTCAAGAATTGCCGACGCCAGCTTTAGAGCTATTCGATCTTGATGAACATTTCTCAACAGCAAAATCCCGCTTGGCCCAGGTCACAAATAAATGTAACAGTGAAATCTTTATAGATAATCTATCAATTTTTTATCTTAAGTGCTAGACTTTGTTTCTAACATAATAGGTCTTCGATAGATTTTGCTAAAAATTTGTGGATTTTTTTCTTAACTTTCTTCAAAGTGGCCAAAGTTTTATTTTATTTGTATTAATTGTCTTGCTTCGGTCTGATCTTATGAAGGCAGAAGTTTAGCTGTTGCTCATCACGAATATTAGTGTTACATAAAATTTTCTTTATTTCGCCTTTATTTACAAAACTAAAATAACACACTATACTCATATCCTCGGCTTTCTCAATTATA